AATACATTGGTTTGGTAAGTGGATGATAGCTTCCAAAAAGACATAAAACACACATAGAGTTGTATATTATATTGTAACAAAGCTGTTGAAATGAGTTACATACTCAAGAGGATGGCCAATGTGTTAATGCAAGAGTGCGGGACTAGAAGAAAGAAGTAGCTACAGTTTGATAGGGTGTTTAGGAACTCAAAAATCATATTTTGGTCGAACATGAAACTATACATATGCTTATATTTTACATATACACAATATTCGCAAAAAGAATCATGATGCCTCTGTCCATGCACGTTGGAGCTCCACAAGGTACGCTCCTAGTTACCGTCTATTTCGGTAGCGTTGTATGCTTGACCAAAGGCAATGGAGTCATAAAGTCTCCTATGCCACCCAATCACTACTATGGTGTTTGGACCACCACGCAAGGCCTTCCCAAACCAAAGACATTGCCATGAGTCACCAAGTCTCATAGTTATCACTACAATCATCCTATTTGATCATGATGTCAATATAAACCAAAGACAAGTGTGACAGCCTCACCACTTCCACCCAATCGTGGTCACCTTGACGTCATGTCCACTATGGAGTTTTATCCACACGAGGGAGGGGGTCTCCACGTGCCCACACTCTAACATGCCATCGCTCCACACCAAAAATGGAAAGTCGCCGCCTCGAAAGGTCAACAGGCCTCCACCGATAGGTCATGAAGACCTCAAATGTTCTAGACTACCAAGATACAAGGCCAACACATATGAGATATAATAAAGTACATTGGATCTTCGCAATGAAACATGCAGGGTATCTAAAAGTTTATGAGCTGCATGACAATATCATCGGTGAAATAGTTGTCTCATAAAACCTAAATTTTTGCTTGTGAGGTCGTTGACTGGTTGTTGCACGAAACAACCACATCTTTCTCTCACATTCCTCTCTCTCTCTCTCTTCCATGTCATAAAAAATCATATATGACAATGCATGAGATAGCCTTTAAGACTGTCTCCCACAAGGAACCCATATAGGCACCAAAACCCAAAATGGGTAGCAAGAGACCCAAAATCAGCCTCCAACAGAGTACCTATACGGGAGACCTATTTTGCGTTGCCTGAGAGGCACAACCCAAATATAGGCATCATCTCTCCTGTAAATCCATTTGCAGAAAAGATTCTCTTTTGGGTCTTGTTGTTAGAGAAGATATCAAATAGGTATTGAACCTTTTGCCTGTAGCGCTATCCAAAGAACGAATCGGATCTTATATTTTTGGTGTTGTTGTTGGAGATAGCCTAAAACTATTAAAATATAGAAATGTATCTGTCCTAAGGAATGTAAATACGAGTACTAAAACTAGAACATCTAATATCAGTGCTAGGATTTACTTCCCGTCCTGAGACTGTTTTTTTTTACAAAATTAAATGTTTTAAATCGCCTTCGAACCTACCTACCAAGGGGTGCTAAGGGATGAGAGTAGAAATTGCTAAGAAAGAGTGATGCTATCTTTAGCACATAAATCAAAGTAACGGACGCACAAGCTCTTTGGCCATCTCGAGTGGAGAAAAAAAAAAGCGAATCATCTTCCTACCTGGAAGACCTGGATGAATCGAACCATACCGGGGCTAAAGTTTAGTCCCGTCATATTAAATGTTTAGATACTAATTAGAAGTATTAAATATAGATTAATTATAAAATTAATTACATAAATGAGGGCTAATTTGTGAGACGAACCTATTGAGCTTAATTAGTCTTTGATTTGACAATATGGTGGTACAGTAAACATGTGCTAATTATGGATTAGTAAGGCTTAATGGATTCATCTCGCGAATTAGCCACGGCTTCTGCAATTAGTTTTATAATTAACTCATATTTAGTCTCTCTAATTAGCATCCGAATATCCGATGTGATAAGGGCTAAACTTTAGCGAGGATCAAACACTCCTAGAGAGAAGGATTTGACTCTAATTTTTTCGCCGATTTGTGGGAGTTAAAAAATATAGTGCAGCAATTGGTTGTTGAGAAAAGTACTCCCACGGGACAACGGCACTTTTTGGTACGGAACGCAAGCTTAGCCGACCTTGAAAAAGCAATAGATAGGGAGAGAGGGAGTCTTGACAGAGCAAAGAGTCAAATCAAACAATCTTCACGTCCCATTTTTTTCTCATGAGTTACTGGTCACTGACGAAGTGACGATGCTCTTAGACTGTCTTCAAAGAGGCTATGCATCACGCTACCTATACCCAAAATGCATCGTTCATATGAAAAAAACACCCTCCAACAGAGTAGGTCAAACGGAGTACATATTTTGCGTCCAAGGTGAGATGGAACCTAAAACTACGTCGTCTCTCTCCTCAGACCCAAATCTGTGTCGTCGAGACAGTGTAGGAGACAGGCAAACAGCGTAGGAGGCACCGGGGTGGGGCGGACGACGACGGCGAGGCGGGGAGGGAAGCGGGCGGCGCTGCCAGATCTACCCACGGACAACGACGACAAGGCAGCCCCGACGACAGCGAGGCGGGGAGGGAGGCGGGCGGCGCTCGGCGGGGAGAGAGGCGGGCGGCGCTCGGGGCCTCTCTTTTTGCGTTCGTTGTTGGAGTTCGTCAGTTTTGGGTGTGTTTTTCTTTCGCTGTGCGTGACCCAAACGGTGAAATAGGTCTCGTGTTTGGGTTGGCTCTATTGGAGATAGTCTTAGGCCTCGTGCCCTGGCTGGGTGGGATAGAAAGGGTAAACCGGAATTTACCATCAGCTAATCCGACGCGAGAAATATTATATAAAAAATAAGAACCACAAAATCATTTTTTATGTGTAGAAAGTGAGTCTCTCAACAGATTGAGGTGGGAAGTCTTGATTTTGAGTACTCTCTCCTTCCAAAAAACAAATGCAATTCTCGCTTCCCAAAAATAAAACGGTTTCAGGTCTGATCAAATCTATATAAAAATTATTAACATTTATGATATCAAATAAATATCATCAGATTAATTATAAAATATATTACTACTATTTTCTATAAACTTGGTCAAACTTAAGAAAGTTTGACTCACCCTAAACCTAGAATTATATTCTTTTGGGATGGATCGAGGGAATACCTATTTTATTTTAAATAATGAAAATGCTTGTAACAAGACAAATTATGGAGTGGTTCAGAGAGCAGAAGGATCTACACATGGTTTTTATTGACCAAGAGAAAGTTTATGACAAGATACCAAGAGATAAGATACCAAGAAATGTTATGTGGTGGGTTTTGGATAAACATAAAGTCTCGTCAAAGTACGTGACTCTCATTAAGAACATGTACAACAATGCTGTTACTAGTGTTCGAACAAATAATGGTAACACATATTACTTCACGATTAAAATAGGACTTCATCAAAGATCAGCCTTAAGCCCGTATCTCTTTGCCTTGGTAATGGATAAGGTTACCAGAAACATTCAAGAGGATATCCCTTGGTGTATGTTGTTCGCTGATGATGTAGTGTTAGTGTACGAAAGTTAGACGGGAGTAAATAGAAAACTAGAGTTGTGACGACAGACCTTTAAGTCTAAAAGTTTTAGATTAAACATAACTAAAACCGAATACATGAGATGTGACTTTAGCGGTGCTGCACAGGAGGAGGGAGATGTGAGTTTGGAAGGTCAAGTAGTGTCTAAGAATGATACCTTTCGTTATCTAGGATAGATGCTACAGAGAGATAAAGATATTGATGCGGACGTTAGCCATAGAATCAAAGCAGGATGGATCAAATGACGACAAGCTTCTGGCATTCTTTGTGATAAGAGGGTACCACAAAAGCTAAAAGACAAGTTTTATAGAACGGCGATTAGACCGGCTATGTTGTATGGAGCAGAATGTTGACCTACAAAGATTCGACATGTTCAACAACTGAGTGTTGCAGAAATGCGTATGTTGCGATAGATTTATGGTCACACAAAAATGGACTGAGTTAGGAACGATGATATACGTGACCGCCTAGGGGTAGCACCAATTGAAGAAAAGCTTGTCCAACATCGGTTGAGGTGGTTTGGCCATGTCCAAAGGAGACCTTTAGAGACACCAGTACATTGTGAAGTCCTAAACCAAGCTAATAATGTGAGGAGAGGTAGACCGAAATTGACATGGGGAGGCAGTAAAAAGAGATTTGAAAGCCTATATATATCTAGAGATCTATGTTTGAATAGGAATGTTTGGAAAGCAGTTATTAAAGTGCCTAAATCGTGACTAAGAGCTCTTATTGGGTTTTAACTCTAGCCTACCCAACTTGCTTGGGACAGACAGGCTTTTGTTGTTGTTGTTGTTGAATGAAAATGCTTGTAAGTGCTAGGGATGCAAACACCTGTTATTCTGTTAAGAACAATGGCGTTAAGAGGTAAATAGGGAAACATGACTAGATTCAACAACACTACGATGCAATGTTGTTAAATCAAATTACATCCCGAATCTGAAACATGTAACCAAAATGAAAAATGAAAAATGAGACATACATGTCATAAGATTTGTTAACACAATTCAGTCGCCGACTGAACAAAATTGGCAGCCAACTCGAGTTCAACAACCCAGCACCAATAACCACTGAAGTCTAATTTGATCTAGATGTACACAAGAAATGGTTACCTACACCAGCAGCCACCCTACTGTAACCCTCAGCTCCAGCATCACAAATGACAGATTCGAGGTAAGTTAGACGATATCTTAAGGGCTCACAGAGATTAGGTCACAACAAACAATGTGCAAGCTCCAGCAGTTACTTTTCACAGATCACGGATAATGTCGGCTTGAAAATGGAGTGCAATTACCTGTACACACAGCTGAAAACACAGTACACAGCACCAAGGTGTACGCCTTCCTAGCCATCCAGCCTATAGTTGCAGTTGCAGTTACCGAAGTTGCCGATTGTCCTGGAGCAAAGTGCTGCCATGATTTTCCCAGTCATTTCCGTGAGATGAAGAAGACTAGAAGAGCAGGATCCAGATTCCAGAATTATAATATCAAGGAAAACGACTGTCATTTCTAGAATATCTGCCTTAAGGAATCCTTTGTAGTGCCTGGGAGAAATCTGGCTTGAAGCGCTTGTTAAAATTCGGCGCCATTGACCTGTCCAAAGAGGCAAAGTTCAAATATTATAGATCAAAGCTTGCCAAGGCTGGGGGGCTGGGCCAGGGCACCCAGGTACCATGTCCACTCTAACGAGTGCTGGGAAATTATGGTCTTCACTGATAAATAAACCTTAGCTAACTTCAGCAACAAAGAAAAAAACAGAGACACTACCCAACCATCACCTTGGAAATGCAGATTGCCTCGGAACATGTTGACCGAGCATGGATTTCAACGTTCCATATGCCTCATGAGCAGCCTATAAAAGGATATTGTTTGAGTGAACAGTTCAGAAATGAAGCATTAAAATGAAGTGCAAACTTTACCCCAAAAGGCTCCTTTTTGTGCAAAAATATTATAGGCGTGTGACTCCTGTCATTTATCATGTTACAAAATTACAGCAGTTTTAGTTAGTTTCTTTTTTTTCAGTCTTAAAAATCAAGACTTCAGTAGCTAGTTTACTTCCAAACAGGCTAGTGGTGAAGGTTGTTAAATGCACAAATAAACTGTTGACTGCAACAGGAAAACTAGTTGCAAAATATTGTAGCAGAGAGTAAAGCGCTCCTTTTTGTGGATGCAAGAAAGACCTACTGGGTTTATTTGTTCATATCAAAACCCCAAGGAGAACAAAGTAGAACAAAGTATAAAATCAATAAAAGAAAATCATTTCTTGTATCTGCTTACAACCTGCAGCTTAGCTTCCTCCCATGTTGCTCCGAATCCTTTACCAAGGACTTTTCCTCCTATTTCTACCTGAAAAAACAAATGTAATTTCACAATAGTAAACTACAGTGAGCATGAATGCAAAAGTTCTCTGTTCAAGCCATCAGCTAAAATTGATTCTAAAAGGAGAAAAGCTACTTGGCAATGACAGCAACATAGAACAAATTATGTACACAAGGGTAACAGAGGCAAGTTTTAGTTTTTCACTAAGTGCGGTTACAGTATCTAGATTTATACGATGTACCAGACAGATAGATGTAAGATGAATACATTCATCCAGATGAAGTACTGACCTGAGCACGAATTTCTTTACCCACTGAACCATCCGCAGATTGCTCTGCATGGAAATCTAAATTATACCCTTCAACCGTACACTGCAATGTACCACAACATACTTTAGATAAATGATTATAATTGTTCTAAAGCTGGTAATGTAGGCAGCAACTTACAAGCTCCTTAAGAGCAGCAAAAGAAGCACCAGGTTTTCTTAAAGTATCAATTCTGTCATTCATATATCTAGACTCATCTGAAGTGCTTGCAACTGGTAATGTGTCATATATATTACTTCCTGGATATCTGTGTGACTTTGGATGCCTATTAAAGTCATTCTCCTTCAGAAATGTCACCTTATCTGGGTCCCATGATAGAAATTTGTCTGCAAATAAAGTTCACATCAAAATATGTACAAGATTTACAAGAGGATTGATGTGTTCTACATTTGTCCACACTTTATTGAAGGCATTCTGCACGAAGTGCAAGTTGAACAAACACACAGGCCTAGACATTCAGCAACCACAAGCTGACACGCACTGAAACATGATTCAACAATCAGAATGACAAACTTTGTCACGATTTTGAGATTACAATATAAACTATTTAGTCCACTACTGAAAATAAAATAAATGGTAAGTATCCAAAACCAACCCCCTGTAGTTTACATATTTGCAAAGCCAACTAGAAACGAACAAAATGGGGAGTCTGACATTAATTCACCTGCCAGATTTCTTAAGGATGTATCTGCAGCTTGACACTGTGCTTCTTTCCTTGTTTTTCCAACTCCTTCACCTACCTTCTCTCCAAAAATCAAAACCTAAAAGATACAAAAAAAAAAGGAACGAGAATTATGAGACAGGCTGCTTAGAGTGATTTCCAATCAGTTGCAAAGTCAAAAATAGTTGGTTCAAAAATAACACAGGCTTTTAGCTATATATGCCCAATGCAATGATCAAGCACAGTGGAATGTCTGCTTTCAAGAACTAAAATTTGTAATGTACCTCCATTAACATGATCCTACATAAAATTTAGACACTAATACTGGGAAGAAGTAAAAATAGCAAAACTTGTAATGTACCTCAACGGAGAATTGCAACTCTGTCGTATCACATAAAGTTGATCGGTACTCCACCTAGGTGAACAAATACAACAGGGTAAGTTATCAGATAAAGAATAAAAGAGCTATCTGCATTTCCATCATTCAAACTACCTTAAATCCACACTTCAACGCAATTTCCTCTAATACACCTGGAATTTCTCCATATTGTGCAAAATGTCGTCCCGATTCCATATGGCTGCTTCTTTGCCCTGAAGGAGCATACAATTTAAATACTCTAAACTAAGTACACACCCAGAACATTCCAAGAAAAAGGAGTTTGTTACAGGAGTACATGACTTAACTAGCGACAACAGGGATTTTACCTAAAACGTGATTGACAGCAAGACCACATCAACACAATAGTATTGTTAACTTATAAGTGAATTGCCAAGTCTTCCCCATCAACTTGAGCTTTTGGAAACTGGTTGGTGCATGCAATTCAATATGGTAATAGGCCTAGGCACCCAAATTTGCTAGGCTTAACCTAGGTGGAACTACTTGACTTTGAACTTGAATGGTCTGGTGTTATAGACTCCTTTGTTGGGCGCCAATACTGGCGCCGACCGCGCCAGCCAGCAGGTCCCAATCGTGGCTAGGATGGCCGGTCTAGGAAAGAGAGAATTAGGGAGGATTTTTAGGAGATTTGATTGGAGTTTGTTAGGGAAGTGCACCTAATCTATAAAGGGCACCTTAGGAGTGTAATCAGTTTTTATCGAGAAGGAATAAACCTCCCAAAGACGGGCGGGGTTTCCCTCACGGTGGCGTCGGGCGATTCAGCTGGCGCCCGTGACAAACCTGCTGCCGTCCTTCCTCGCTCCCTCTTCGCTCCAGTTCCCAATCCCAGCTCCTCCTCCGATCCCCTCTACGCACTCCTCACCGCCCACGCCACATCATCTGGGCATACATCCACACCTCAACTGGGCTAGGCCCAATCTAACATTCCAGCCAAATACAACCTCTTGTCATCTTGTTTTGAAATGAAAACTGGACACCAAAGTAAACAAACCAATAAAGTGCAACCTACTAAAGTAATGGTGGCTCTGAAAGGTTGCATAAAGCTTGCATCCAGAAAGATGGAAACACATCACAAGAGAAGCAACAGAACCATCAAGGCTAAACAAAACATACCAGAAAAGGATCGATAAGCTGTAGGCGCATGGTTATGAAGTGTATGATGATCTTCACTGTGAGGTGGCTGAGTAAATAAAACACGTCACCGAATCATCCATAGAAACCTCACTAATAAAGACCAATTACTCTAAAGAAGACTAATTAAAATTCTGATCAAAATAAATGATCACTAACCTGAGAAGGATATCTCTGATTCTGATAATTGTATCTATCATAAGACATAGGATTATCCCCGATAGGGATGTATGATGTATGCTGCAATTGCTTCTTATCATACTGTACAGAATCAGATTCTAAATGAAATTCTGTTGAAACCTTGTTCAGGTTCCTAGGGTTCATCTCATCCTCTAAGCAAACCCAATTTCCATGAGATTGCACAGGAGGTACTGAGACTTGTGCAGGAGGTCCAGCGGGAAACGACAGTGCTGGATCTCTTGTGTCTTGACCATGTTGTAATATGAGAAGCCTTCTCCGAGTATCAGGATCCAATTCAGACTCAGGAACTTCACCCTCTTCTCTGGCCGGAGAACCTTGGGAAGGATCCACATGGCCAGATTGAGCAACATGCCATCTTAGTGAAGGAGGCTGAGGATCCAGATCATTATTCAAAGGCATACCCAGTGGTGGTGCTACTGGAGTAGATGAGGATATAGGTGTAACAAAGTGTTGGTTAGCGGCTACTGACATCAGATCGACATTAGTTGTTATTGGATTCGCAGATTGAAAGCTGGAAGAAGCTTCCTGAAAATTTTTCAGATGCAAATAAGAGTCAGATGTGATTTTTAAAGTGCTAAAAAACAGCATCAGTAGAACAAATATGAAGTTATTAGTTTATGGATTATATTCACACTTTTGTTAAGCCTTCTCACTGGAAGTTGGAATGAAACCATATGCAACAGTTGCTAAGAAATATTCAAAGTTGGAATGAAACCATATGCAGCAGTTGCTAAGAAATATTCAGTTATTTATCATTTCCGTTTTGTTGTAGGCAGATAAAGATGATAAAAATGGAGTACTGCCATACAGAATGGCAAATAATTTTGAGGTATTGGTTGGATATAATATAGGTCAAGTCGGCAAAATTTGAGTACCAAGCTATGCATTTACGCCATAAAAAAATGTTTCTTTGAAAAGTTTGTATATTCATTCTGCATTTCAGGCATAACACGACTTAAATTACAAAATATAACACATGAAGGATTAAACAGTTACATCTTGAGATTCGAAAATGTACAATTCAACCCTAAAAACATGTCCAAAATGTCCAATGGGCATAAATAGCCTAAGATATTCTCTACACGATGCTTCATTTCACAGAGCATTTGATTTGATTTGCACAACAGCACCACATTTCCTGAATCTACATTAACTTTGAAATTTATACAATTTAGCCAAGAATTCATAACAAGGCACTAAAAGTGCAAACCTTCATTCTCTTCTCAACCTCTGCATCTGCCATACCATCAAAAGCTAGTGGATTTTTGTTTACATTTGAAACAGCAGCATTCTCGTCCTAACAAAGAGAAAATTAATGTTGCTTGGTACAAATTAGGTACAAGGTGTTCAAAATTTGGGTGCAAAGCCCTTAATCCAAAAGAAAACTGGGTTTAATCTCCAGTATTTGCCTTTATAAAGTTTACCTCTGAAATAAAATAATTGCTAACATCAGGAGCAGAAGGAATGTCATCCAATTCGTCCTCATAACAAACTTCAGTAATCCTTGGAATGATACCTTCATCAAATTCTCTGTCAATAAAATAAACCATAAAACTTCGGCTAAGGACAAAGGATTCAAGCTTGTTAAATGGTGTAGGTTACAGGAACACTAGTATACATGGCAGCAGTGTGTATTCAGTTTAGCCATGACAACTGACTACTTAGAAGGTCATATAGGAAAATAAGTATATTCTTACTTGAAGAAACCACCCCTAACATTGCAAGCAACATTCCGTGCGACGCATAGAACTGGAATAGGGAAGTTTGCTTGAAAGTTAAAGACAAGGTGATACTACCCTCAGTAGCTCATTAAGTAAAATAGCTTTATGTTTGTATAGTAAAGTTCAGAAAAAAACTTTACCTCTGCCTGGGGAGCGTAATATGGAGCAAATGCTGGAACAACGTGAACTCTACGTTGGTCCCTCTCATCCCAAACTTTCAAACGGTCGTCAATGACAAGGGCCATTCCAGGGTGACAAGATCCATCATGGAATACATTTAGCAAAGACTTTCTTGACCCTAGATGAATAGATTTAGCATTGACTCAAAAGGATGGAAAGATCAAAAGCAGTTACGTCCATGCACATGGAAGTTCATAGAAGAGAATGACCCTATCGACAAAGTCAGCAACGTACAAACACAAAATGGCATGATGCTCCTTTTATACTTGTACTGTTTGAAAGAAGGATTCAAAACATACCAGATTTGACACATACAAGTCAAGAAGTTGAACGGAGTTTATCAATTTTGAATCTGAATCAAGCAACCTCCACATTTCCAAAGCGTAGTCCCTCTCAGCCATTGTGCACACATAAACCTCAAAACGTTTGCGACCTCTTGCAATTAAGTAGCTCCGAAGGTCGTCCCATGCAGGTCTTAACCGCACCAGAACACTAGTATCTCTTATCTAAATAACAAAAAGGAAAGGAAAATAAACCGTGCAGTCTACCAGCATGTAAATGTAGTTGAATCAAAGCCGGATCGAGACAGGTTCACTAACAGCAAAATAAAGTTTAGGTCAGCCAAGAGCCAAGAAAAAAAAAAGAAAGGGTTAAATTTTTTGTTGGCCCATATGCCAATACAGATTGATTCAAGCACATAAACCAAATGTCCAAAGCATGAACTAGTAACATCATTTCAGTCAAGTAAAATCAGGTAAATCGCGTTAATATTAATATGGTCTCCAAATTGGCATTTTCGTATGAAAAATTTCTGCCATGTAAATCAGGTGAAACAGGATGTCTATAATATGTTAAATTGTTAATTTTGATGGCAGTATGGCACATTTCAGTTAAAAAAGCATCATGCAAAAACAAACTGAACAAGGTAATATGTTACTACACTTGCCAAAAGTGGTGATTAATAATATATGTGGAAGTATCGATCATCGCATGGTTTTAGAACAAGTCAGAGTTATTAGTTACTTACTGATGGATTTATACGTGTCAAGATAATATTTTTCTCGTGCAACCTTATAATCGGGCGTGTCATAGGTTGTTGATGATTATCAGCTAAGGGTGGAATGATCTCTGATTGTACTTTGTACAATTCTCCTCCATCAGTAACCTGATCACTTTCTATATACTGTTTTAGGATAGACTTGTCTTCTTGGTACCTCTTGATCTCCGCCAACATACCACTAATGCGCTGCGGATCAGTCTCATTATTCAATTTTCTCTGAATAGCATCTATCTTGTCTTCAAAAGATCGCGTGGTATTGGCAACAATTAATGTTTCATCAAGGTCAAACACAATACCAAGGCATCGAAGATTCAGCATACTCAGGCAAGAATTATACAAGCCCAATGGCACTTTAAAGCCCCAAAAACATGCACCATCTGGCATGTTTCTCTCAGAAGTCATTGCCACTAAGTGTATCTCTTCTGCTCCAAGTGGAAAAACAGCCGTCTGCGAAAACAGTGAATTAAAGAGAACAAGATGAGAGAAGGAATGAATGCTTTCATATTAGGGAAAGAGTGCAAATAGAAGACTTATTGCACACAATACGCATGGAAATTCACAAGGCGCGTATAACAATCTACAATAGATGAACCCAGCTTTTCAATGTATCATGTGCCTGGTTGATCTAGTACAGAAAATAGTACTATGTAGAAAGGAAAATTCAAACAGTATGTTTTGTTCTTAATTTTTGTAGTGTTAATCAGATGAACACTATCTATAGCCAAAATAATTAAACAAACAAATAGAACAGAAATTTGCACAGCAGTATCAATACTGATAAAAGTGACTATATATAGGAACACATGTGCTCTTTAAATAATTTGGGTCCGATGAAATCAAGCATTCAAGCTGCACATTAACTTTCCAGCAGATGATTTCCATGGACAATTAAAGCAAGCTTCAGTCATTCCTCAAATACATCTTTTGCTATGTGGAGTTCAGCTGTCAGAATCAACAGCTGCTTCAATAAAATTCTGATGGCAACTAATCCAAAGTCCCAAGTCAAGAACTGCTGAATAGCAGAAAACTCTTCATAATCTCTGGCATGCCTTAGCAACCAATGTCCCATTCAAGAGCTCAATTCATATGTTTGATGTTCGCTCCATTTTTTAAATATGAAACACTGTTCCTGAAATCTCATCCCCATAGAGCAATGTCAGGCCAGGTTCCGCATTTGCATTTGTTCTATCACTTGAGATCAAGTTAAAACCAAATCCATGGTCTACAAAACATCATACAGAAACTGAATTCTCATGCAAATTCCAGTCGTTATCATTAATATATCACATCTTTGCCAAAAGAAAAAACCTAGCACACATATCAACAGAATTGTCCGTGCTGCATTACAATAATCATTAATGCAGTAAATGTTCCAATAATACTTTTTTGCTAGTTTTCTTGGGCAAATTAAGACTCCTGTCTGGCTAAACTAGTCCATGTAAATGTAAAGTTCAAAGAATCAAAGGCCTAATTCGTTCATTTGACTGTCCCATTAGTTCTGATTGAGCTTTTGATTGTTTTTCTTTGTCAGGAATGATTCGCGTATATACCTTGTTATTCTTGAGACAAGTGGTGTGCATGGTGACGAGCGGCGGCGGGGGCTCGTGAGCCGTGGCAGTGGACTTCGACTCCACGAGGCATCGGGCGCCGGCCGCGACGACGTGCAGCACGGCGAGCGGCGTGCACCGCTCGCTGGCCGGGGATAGCCGGTCCACCCGGATCTCGCACGCCCACGCCAGGTCCGTCTGGCCCTTGGGCCACACCTCCACCTCCCCAACAGGGGTGTTCCCGTAATAAACCAGCGACTTGATCATGTCCAACGCACCGCACAAAAACAAATCCGTGCGGTTCCAGAGATCCAAATCCCTCGGGTCAGCAGAATCTGTTACGCACGTCCACGCACCGGCAGATCTGTTCTTATCAAGTCTCCGGAACCAGTAAGAATTCAGCAATGGACAGATGAGCGCGTGCTGCTGCGTTATTGTACTTCTTCGGATCACATTCGAGTTCTTCGCAAATTACGAACTGATTTGGTGCGCCAGGTAGGTTTGAGGGTGGGTTTACGCAGGTCACGCGAAGCCACAGCAATGGCGGCGGTGGAGAGCTCGGGGAGGAGAAGGGAAGGGGCTGGAGGAAGGGGGCGTCTGATCAGATTCAGAGTAACATTCATCCACGGGCTATTCGGTGAGAGACAAGTGGGCTTCGACGGAATGCCATTCGCAATAAAGCTTCGCCAAGATGCCATTATTAAATGCGACACAACCGCTAGAATGCCATCCGAGGGAATTTGAAGCATTTTATTCCCCTTTTACCCCTCCCTTCTCTCTTTTCCTTTCACGGTCGCGATTGGGACAGACGGAACAGGAGCCAGCTCGCCACCGTACCTCGCACCAGTCACCACCATCCACCGCCGCGACATCGAAAGCGCTAACTTAGCCTTCTCCCTTTCCATCACACACCGCCCGCCCCCGGTCCCGCTCATCAGACGTCGTGCACCGCACCGCCGGCATGCATGCATCGCCACAGACATGGCGGCGGCTGCTCAAAAATGCACACCAGTCGGACCTCTGCATCGGCAAGCGGCGAGGTGGGCTGCCGCCGCCATCCCACGATCGCCGACCGGAGGCCGGAGGGGGCCGTGACGACGCGGCGCGCGCGGTGGGGACGGTAGCGAGGGTCCGACGTGGCGGCGGGGTGTGCATGGCCGACGCGTTGCTCTTCCTTCTGGCCGACGACGATGACTGACACGGCCCCCCGCCGCCGAGCCACGCTCTCCGACCGCTCCGCCTGCCGCGCTGCGCTTGTTAGTGCGTCCGAAACACATCGACCCGGACGCGAGGTCGCTTCCGCCGACTTGCACGTGTGCATCAAATAAATTTTCCGGACCGAATCGAGTGTTTTGGTGATCTGATGATGGGGTCGGTCGTTTGGTGTCGGCAGCGGCGTCTTTGGGCGGTGGACGCGTTCTCGGCGGCGCGCCGCGCACGCCGCCGTGCCGATCGAGGAGAGGTGGCACGCCGCCGCCGACCGCGCAAGCCGCTGTCTCACTCACGGTGGAGGGCGTGGTGCGCTTCCTCCCGAGCTCCATCGGCGTATTCTCCGCCACGGCCTCGCGGTCCGTCACCGAGCTCGGCGCCGTCCGTCCCGCCGCCCTTTCCTTCCGCCGCTGCACGCCGCCGCGCGCAATGCTCTCTCTGCCGTCAGCGTTGACACTCCGGCACCTGGGGCATCAGCCTACCTAGGCCCATGGTGTACTCTAGCCTCGAACAAGGACTCGGGGATTGGAGCTCATCCCCTCAAAGGACCGTCTGCTCTCTCGCTGCCCGCGGCGCCCCACGCCGATAGCGATGTCGCCGCACCGGCTGCACTGCCCCCGCCCGCCGCCTCCAAGTGATCGAGCGGGCAGCCGTGGGGTACCTCGGCGACGGAGGAGAAGAGCCCGAGAGCTCGATCCGTTCGTGGCTCCCGTTCTGTCCGTCCCAATCGCGATCGTGAAAGGAAAAGAGAGAAGGGAGGGGTAGAAGGGGAATAAAAGGCTCCAAATTTCCTCGGATGGTATCCTAGCGGTTGTGTCACACTTGATAATAGCATTCTGGCGAAACCCCGTTACGGGATGGCATTCCGTTGAAGCCCACTTCTCGTAATGGTCTCTCACCGAATAGCTCTTCATCCACGGGTGGCTCAGTGTTGTGTTGGGTTCGTGAGGGACATCGACAAGTTTTATTACCACTGATCCGCCGGTGGTCTGATGCTAGGTTGGTGAGAGATAAGAATGCTAGTTTTTATTTATTTTTATTTTTTACGTTCGGCTTGGTGCTAGGTTGGCGAGGGAGTACCATTGATCCAGGGTGGCTCGATGCTGGGTTGATGAGGGATATCAACATGTTTTATTACCACTGATCCTCCGGTTATCCAGTGCTAGGTTAATGAGAGAGAATGATGTTAGTTTTTTCGTTTGGCTTGGTGCTAGGCTAGTGAGGGAGTATTAATTATGATTATGAAATAAAGTTTATCCATCTATCCAGTGACGGACCTAGGTTTTTACCTCTGGGTATGCGCAGCAAAAATTTTTCTTATGCAATTTGGTAAACCATATATAATTTGGTAAAACCATATTCTCATTCGGTAAAATCATATTCTAAAACCATATAAATTGTTCAAATGAAATACAAAATACTTTAAAATATAGCCATATAAGATACTTATAATATTACTTGTTGATCCGTAGTTGCTCTATCTTCTCGATTCTGCTCTTCCACAACAGTTTCAACCGGAGGTGGGGTAGGGTTCAAGGCAGCTGCAGCCGGCTTCTTTGCTGCTTTGCAAAAAAAGGATCGAATGTCGCCGTTTCTCTTCATCATTCAACAATTCTTTTGAAAAATAGTTTATAATTACCAAACGTGCGAAACTCAAAAAGTATAGTCACATGCGATATTGAGTTATTGACTCATGTTTGGACTTTGGAACTTACCGACTGGTGCTGATGAACTTGTTGGAGTTCTGGACCTCGTGCGTCGCCCTGAGGAGCAGAGCAGATCGCCGTCGCCACCTCGCCGGATCGTCGCGGGCTCGCGGCTTCTCCTTTCCCGTCGCGGCGTCGCCCTGAAGGAGCTAGGCAGGAGCAGATCATCGCGGACTCACGGCCAGGAAATCCCGCGGATCACCGTCGGCCGTCACCGTCTCCAACTCTCCCGTCTAGTCGTCTTCTCGGCTTCTCCAGCCTCCTCATCCTCAATCGAGAATTCGAGATGTGTCACAACAATTTAGCCAAAGGGAAGCCAAGCCGCATTACTCGTCCACGAGTCCGTACTTACTAGGTGCTAGCGAGATCGTGGAACCGAGAGTCCAGGACGGAAGCCAAAGCGCCGATCGTTTCCTTTTTTTTTTTTTTACATTGAAAATTTCTACCTATCTCTATGACTGGCGGACCCCAGGGTATGCGGTGGCCCACCCTGCATACCCTGTGGGATCTCGTCCCTGCGTCTATCATAAACTATTTCTCTCCCTTTTGTCTGCTCGTCAGCTCGTTATCTAATCTCCATCTTCACTCCTCACGCAACCCATCCTGTTATCTAATCCTCATCCTCAACCCATGCCGCATGACTCCCGTGCCGCATCATGCCTACCTCCCATTGTTTGTCAAGCTCCCTCCGACCTTGTTCCTTGCTCCCTCCCCCTTCCCTGCCTCCAAGCTCCCTCTGCCAGGAGGCCCCGCGTTGAACACTATGCCACCAGAGCACCTAGGGCATCGAATGATACCTAGGCCCCTGGTACTCTAGCCCTCGAACAAGGACTCCAGGGATTGGAGCTCATCCCCTCAAAGGGACCGTCTTGCGGCCCAAGGTCTCTCCTTGCAATAGGGGTCGAGCCCAGGGCCGTGGCCTTACCAAAATCCGGCGCTAAAAGACCCCAATAGTATCCGCATCCAGAGGTCGAGCGAGTCGCGAGGGATGAATTTGTCTGACTCGATCGTCAGGTCCTCTTATCGGATATAATCCCACATGGCATGGGCTCGAGCTTTCAACAGTAGGATGCGACGTGCCATGAACATCCTAATGACCATAGGCCTCATTAGCCCCCGGTCCTTTAACCACCCGATCGCATCCAGCAACGTCTTGGTCTCATGCGCTTCCGTACCGCTTTGGAGGCTGAAAGCCCTAGTTTAGTTTTGGATAACTGATGAAACATTGGGACTAATCCTTGTGCTAAGTGTGTAGACATGAAAGGATGGTCTCATGCCAAGTGGTGGAGCAAGAGGAAGATCATGATGGATGGTGATGACCAAAAGATGATCAAGTGCTCAACTTAGAAAAGAAGAAAGAGAGAAACAAAACCAAGGAGATCAAGGCAAAGATATAAGATAGGTTTTATTTTTGGTGATCAAGACACTATAGAGAGTGTGATCACATTTAGAATCAATAGCCGTACTATAAAGAGAGAAAATCTTTAACTAAGCGGTTATCGAGTGCCACTAGGTGACATGATTCTTGCAAATGCATTTAGGAACCCAGTGTGCTAACTTTGACCTTTGTAAAATGCTTTGAAAAATGCTAACACACGTGCACACAACTTCTACACTTTGTGGTTAGCAAGTTGGAAGCATGGGCGAAGTGGTTGCGGACTTAGAAAATGAAAAGGAGAAGAAGGTGCGTGACCGGACGCTGGTGCCGGTGTGACCGGACTCACCCCGGGCGCATCCGGTCAATTATAGGCTATGGCGCGCTGTTGGCCGAGAGGGCCGAGGAGCGACCAGACGCTGGACCTGACTCCAGCGTCGCGTCCGATCACTTTTACAGAGGAGGCGAGTTGGCGCGATCGGACACGCAGGGGCCGCGATCAGGTGATCGTTGACGTACATTGACGTCAGCCTCGCCAACACGCGCAGAGGAGACCGGATGCTCGGGCGCGTGTTCGGTCAGTAAAAACTAGTTCTGGAACCTTTCTGTTCCTGATCTGATACTGTGTGGCTCAGAGTCCGATCAATCGAGCAGCGCGTCCGGTCCTAACTCAAGTGTTCGCGCGTTTGGAAAATAGCCATTGAGATCCAGTGGCTGAGATTTGAAAGGGCGACACGTGGAGGCCATCCGATGACCAGACACTGGGGCTGGCGCGTTCGCGTCCGGTCAGTACGCAAAGCCCTCTCTCTTGACCCTAACGGCTCTATTCGTTTGAGGGGCTCTATAAATAGTGTTTGGCCGGCTTGGGGCTCATTCTCTTGGCATTTTGACATTCCTAACATCCTTATGAACCTAAGCAAACACCTCCCACTCATCTCTATCATTGATTCATCATCATAGTGAGATTGGGAGTGATT